GGGTGTGTCCAGAGGGGAGCAATCAATAGGATAAGGGACTGAGAGGAAAATCCTGCTAGGAACAGTTGGAGGTGCTGGGTGCGCTTAGCCTGGAGGAGATTGCAAAGAAACATGAGAGCCATCTTCAAGTATCAGAAGAGCTATCCTTCTGGAAGATGGACAAGAAATCACAGGTTGAAATTCTAAGCCAGTAGATTTCAGTTGGAGTTCAGGAAAAACTTCCTAATGGTAAGAGCCATTCAATGTTGGGACCAACTGCCACAGGAGATGGTGGATTCTCCTATTCTGATAGTGTGTAAACACCTCCAATTTGGGAAAAGTTGCTCTACTCCTATGCACGTGTTCTTTTTAACCGAAGTAACCTTTGCCATGCAGGAAGAGACATGCATAGTCACAAAAACCATCAGGTATGATTTATGACACCATCAAGCATCCCTGGGAGTTGGCTGTCCAGCCCCTGCCTGAATGCATCCAGTGAATAATCACTGCATTGTTAATCTCTCACTGCTGAAATTATATGAACTGCCTCGCACATCATTCTGAAACAGAATTAGGTAGCCACAATTTAATACACAATTGGCTAAGCAATAAACTACAGGTTACAAATAATGGATTTGTACAATATACACAAAACAAAAACAAACCAGACTTTGGCTTTCTTGGCTTGATGTGTGAACCTAATCATTTTTAGAAAATCTGTTTATGAACCATTTTTTAAAATTGGTTTCTAGTATTCTAAAATAGAAAACTCCCAATTTCACAAAATAAAGAATATAAGATGACTGGATCTTTTATATTATAAGCCAGCAGACTTGCAGGAAGCTGCTGGTGCTATCTGAATATAACCTAAGAACTTTCCTCCCGCAATTGCTGACAGGTTGGTTTTATCACATCCAAACAAAAAAAGGAAGCAAAGCTTAGGTAAGGTCTGTCTGGTCTTGAGGAATGCTAATGCCTCACTCCAACTGAGCTCTCTCACACTCAGCAGGCTGCTCCCACAAACTATTTTGCCCCATTGGGGCCCTTAAATTTCTCCTCAACGAACTTGTCAATTTGCTGCTAGAATCCTGTTCTTAACCTCTACGTTGCCTGTTTTCTGGGACATGCTGCTAACTCCAACACGTTGCTAACTCTTTCATCTCAAACTGGGAATGGGCTAAAGCAAGAAATGATCTCCAGAATTATTCACACACTGCAACAAGCAGTGAAACTGTGCACTTATGACTTCATGACCTAAGCAGAATCAGATCAGGTAATACAATTTTACCAGCTTAAATTGTTCAGTTCTTGAAAAGAACAGAACACATTTCATTCAGTTCTGGAAATGAATGTTTTGGCAAGAGTTTGAACAATACAACAGAGAAAAGATGACCTGAGCTTCAAGGCTATTATGCCTAGTCTCTGCCACTCATTTTCTCGTGGAAGCAGCAGCCTCTTCCACAGCTTGGGATGTCTATGCATGCCTGTTCAGATATGGATTATGCTATGTTCATTGGGACTTGCTCCCAAGTAAGTGCCTTTAAGATTGTTAAGTGCTGGGCCTCTAAGGCTGCAATGTCAAAACAAGAAGAATCTCAGAAGATCTAACACATGGTGGCTTTCAGCTGTGTGGCAAACTACTAACTAGAACTCTGAGTAAAATTATTATTACTGAAAAGTGTACGGTTCTGCCACCTCCAGCTTGCCAGACGTTTTCACTCTGGCTACAGAGCAAAGCAGCGTGGTTGTCATGTAGCTATGGTGTTTTCACAGGATAAAGCTGATACTAGGGAAATTGCTAGTCTTGTGGCTAGCCCACCATGGGACGTTTGTCTACCTCTGCAGAATGCTACCTTCATGTAGGAGACTGCCTCACAGTCAACCTGTGTGAGCTCACAGATCACATGACTGGGGCCTGCCAGCAGACCAGAATGGAATTCTCCCAGATCTGGATCAGACATTCCCCCCTCCTGGAATTAATTCAGGAAGTTTTCACACTGGCTGCAACATGTATTACAGAATCCTGGGCAAGGATCAGTGCCTGGTTGCTGGAGGACCAATGAAGACTTGGTGGAGAAGAGTTCAGCAAACGCCAAGATCAAGTGAGAAGGAGAAATGGGATAACTGAACATGCAGGGAAACCATATGGTCCAGGCACAAGGAGGAAAGCTGGGAAAGGGAAGGAAGGACTCAACAATCACAAGGCTTGAAGAGAGCACAAAGTAGAGTGAAGTGGAGAACAATGAAAATGAGGAGGATGAGTCCAGAGAGGAGCAACGTCACTGGGAACCCCTGAGCAACTGCTTACAAATAAAGAGCAAGATTCTCAGTCTTCTATAACTCAGTTTACTAAAAGAGAATCAGTTACAGAAATTCTGGCATCTGGCTGTTTACTTTAGCACCAAATTTATCTCTATGTCTAGGGCAGAGTTTTCTTGATCCTCTTGCCATGCACTACTGATGCACTGAGTATACTGGCTACCTGTTATGAGCTTCTAATATTCTGCAAATGGTCATCCTCTTTTCCCAGACTGAGAATCCCACTGCGGTCATCATATTAACAGACAGAAAGGTAATTTCAATAAAATGTCCTGCACTGACTAAGGAAAGAAAAGACTGCAGACTAGATTCTCCGTGACAGGACTTCATGTTTTGGCTTAGCTCCACTGGAAAAACACGGAAGAATCAATAAGTTATTTAATTTTAGTACCAAAAGTATATATCTGAGAAGGGTTATTCTAGCTTCATGCTGAAAACTAGATAGAGATAACTTTTCTAATTCTTTTAAAGCTAGATGTCTTTGCAGCCCCCTAGTGGCATTGAAGGAGAAAACTGTGGAAACCCTCATCAGTCTGACTCAAGTATCTTCTGGCAGGAGTATCTTCTGGCAGGAGTACGCTGTGTTGCAAGAAATGGAGGCGGTGCTTCTCTCTCACAATGCATATGAGAATCAGAGAAGCACCAACTCAGACCAGGAGAGGCTGCTGAGCCGTAGCAAAGCCACCACCCATTATACACCAGACCCCAAGACTCTGGTGCCAACGTTAACATTTGTGACTTCTCCATAAATGAAGATGAGAGTTTCAGCACCAGAGTACCTAGCCCGTTCTCTTTGAACTAAACCACAAACCCCACAAAACCAGAACAGGCCATAAAGTTTCAGCTACACAAAAAAGCAAAACTCAGAGCAACATTTTAAGCAACGTTATTGTGAATGTACAGAGTAGATTTTTACCTGCTATGCTAAAAACACACTTTACTCAATAGGTAAAAGCATACATCTGGCATTATACACAAGATGACTCACTGAACAAACTGAGCACCTGAAAAAAAAAAAAAAGGAAAGGCTGCTTCCATCAAGAAGAAATCCAAAAAACACTTGCCTGTGACTAAGCACCACTGAAATGAAAAAAGGTACGATTCATATGTAACTTGCTCAGCCTGACTTGCTCAATTTGCCTAATCAATTCTACATCCCAGCAGAGCTTTGACAGAGGCTAACTTGATTTTGGATTTTTACTTCCACAATGGAGAAAAGAATCCTGTTGCCTTGCATTGAGAATTTCAAAGGCAGGATCATACATTATGCCACTGGTATCGTTTACTTTTCTTAAAATTCAGGACACCCGTACCTTTTCAAGACCAAATACGGAATACAGTTCGCTTGACCCTCTTTGCCAGGTCTCCATTGCAGCTGTTACCTTTGGAAGAACTTTGGAAGACTTTCAGTGCTAAGCCACCTCCGTGCCTGCTAGCAAACACAATGCCTGAGTGGAGAGTCTAGAAAACTAAAGGTGCTATGTTTTTAAAGAATTCTGCTGACTCACGACATTCAACACTGAGCCAGTTCTTCCAAGAAGGCACATGCTGAATTCAACAGGGTTCTCTCAGAGCAGAAGAACAGTGGGAATTTAGGAGATGCCACAGCTTGGACTTCACAGCAGCAGGTCTTGCAGAGCAGCAGCAGAGGAGGAATCTGCCAGCTGCCCCAGCTGACCCTAACCCTGGAATCTCCCACTCCTAACTCAGATGATTTTTCCCACTTTTTCCCGCAAAGCTATCTAGGGGAAATGAAAGGAAGTTTTGTATAGCATCTACCATCCACACTAGCATATTTGGGGCATATACCAAACTACTGGGCAAAGGATCAGAACTTACAATACAAAACAAAATATGATTTTTTGATATGCTATTCTCTCTTTGTATTTCCACCTGAACTCCCAGCCTCATTGTGCTAACAGCTACCAAGAAAAAGAAGCTGACAGGCCCCAGAAGCTCTGGCCTATCTACCTAAGGTTTAGAAATGTCAGGGAACTGCTTGAAGTACTAAGAGAAAGCTCCATAGACACATACTCTTAATGATTAATTTAAGATGATAAACCCAGAGCAGCAAGATAGCAATCTCCATTGAAAGCTGAAGCGAAATGGTAGTTTTGTCACTCTTCCCTGCCTCGCTCTCAGGTGGACCTGAGCTTCCTATGAAATGATTGGTAGAAGAAAAGTCAACTAAACTACAGAAATTTCTGAAAGGTCAGTTGGAAGCAGAAGTAAAACAGTTAAATATCTCAAATATGTTATTGTGAGCTGTTCTAAAGACTGAAATGTGTCTTTTGAGATAATGTATATTTGCTGCTTCATAAAATAAAATATTCAAGTGAAATCTACCTCATCCCAAGCTACAAACATTGGCCAAGTTACTAAACCTATTTTGGCCACTAGGTTTCAGGACCAGAAAGGAATCTAGGAAATTCTGCCCTAGCCAAGAACAATGGATTGATCCTACAGTGTGAATTCAATGACACCACATAAAAGAGGCAGGACTCACAAAGAAGCATACAGGTAATGGCTTAACGGTGCATTAATACTGTATGTTAATTTTTAAAAAACCCCAACATATTTCCTTGTTTTGTAAAGTCAGATTTTCTAGCACATGAGCATAAAACTATCTTGGTAGGCAAGAAAAGAGGAACAAACAAGGCAACATTATTTTAGATAAAACGTGGCTTTCATAAACTCTTCCTCCCCGCTCAGAAAAAAGAAAATAGCGTGCCAGGGGACAGTGTTATGCCCTTGATTTACAAGAAAATACCGGAGTGACTAGTTTTGAAGAGGACTGGGCTTGGGGCTTGGACATAATCTAATGGACACTACATGGAGCATTGCAATTTGGCTTCAATGATCTTGTGTGGGGAACAAGCATGAACTGTTCACGGTGTGTGTGGTTAACAAGTGGGCAATGAAAACAGGAAGAAAACAGTTGTGCTAAGGTGCTTCCACTGTACATGTCTAAGCTCACCTTGACTGAGGGAGAGGCAAAGGAGTGTGTGATGACTTTGGGGACACTGTGATTGTTACACTTCGGAGTTGCTTACAGTTTTCCATTTAGCTGAGCCGAACTGCGCGGACTGCAGCAGGTTCACGTTCCACATAATGGAATGAAGATGGAGTTTGCAGACCAGGTACACCTAGGCGGAACTCAGATTTGCTCTAAAACATTACGGCGGGCCTGGGCTTTTTAAAACCAACCAAAGCGAGTGCGTGCTTCTGCGAGTACTTCCTTAAGTAGGGTCGCCCGCGGCGCCCACCAGAAAGGGACACGGGTCCGCCGTTCCTGACGCGCGGCGGGGCGGGCTTCTGGCCTTTGTTGGCGCGGCGGGGAGAAAGGAACATGGTACAAACGGAATTATGCAAGAAAACAGGCTACT